CCTTCACTTTTATTTGAAGCCAAATATAAAAGAAAGCTTTATCAAAGATTTTGTTAAAAAAAAAAAATAATAATAGTAAAAAAAAACTAAAACTTTTTAGATCAATAAGAAGATATTGCAATCTTAAAATCTTATAATGTCTTATTTGTAAATAAACTAGAGTTTTCATCTTGAAAATACCTATTGTCTTATGAACTATAGAAATGTTTTAAATTAGATTTACTACTTCTAAATCATTTCTATGCTAACAAATCAAATCTTAGTACTATAACATGTTATTTAAGCACCTTATGCTTCTTTATCACATAAAAGCACAAAGTTAGTCTATTAAAGATCTAATTTAGCAAGAAAACTTAACACAAGTATTCTAAAGTATTGCTTTAAGGCATAAAATAAACTCAAAATTTAAAATATATTAAAAATTAAATAAAAGAGAATCTAAATTTAGATTTATATCTAAATTTGAATGTAAGAAAATTCCATATTTTAACATTGGTACCAATAATATAATCTATTTTTTAATATAACAAAGACTTTATAGAACTTCAAAAATCACAAGAAAATGTGAGTTCACCTTGAATCCTTTCAAAAAAAAAAAAAAAAAGAAAAAAGAAAATCTAACATTTAGCATTAGTAAAATTGCAATAAAGAAAATTATGGAGTAAGATTATTCTTGCTTCTAACACTTGTTACTTACAGGTGGTAATTGATGCCATGATTTATAACTTTGATCTCTTTACTTTCATATTTATTAAAAGATATATCTGTCATATTTTTTATTATTTACATATCATAAAGATATTCTGTGGCATATATTTTATACTCTTGTTTAATCTTTATATACTTCCAAATAGATCCATCATCCTCTTGATTTGTCTTTTGGCCCTTGACTTTATAGCTAGTTTATAGGATGACCCTTCCATAATCTAAAAGCTAATTCTTTAGCCACTAGCAAATTACCTACAATAATTTCTTCTATATAGTAACTTATTTTATGATTAATTTTATTTATTTTAATAAAATTTATTCTTTAAAAGTAGCATCATCAATTAAAGATTAAATTTAAAATTAATTAAAATATTTTTTAATAGAAATTTGAAAAATAAAAACTTAATTAATAATTTTTAAAAAAATTTTAAAATTTTAGATAAAATAAAATTTGGTTAAATTTTAAAAAAATATTTTTGTGATTAATTAAAATAAATATTATTTTTAAAGAGCGATTTTGGAATAAGATTAGATTGCCAAAAATAATTTTTTGGCTAAATGCTCAAGTATATATTAGCTAATCATATTAAAATTTAAGGTTGAATTAGAAATTTTGAATTTTGAATTAATACATCCATGGTTATTTTTATTTTTGTAAAATGATCTATACTTGATTGGTTAAGTTTAATACTAGAGATTTTTAGTCGAATATTTGGATTTGTAATAATCATATCATAAAAGCCAATATTAAAAAGATATGTATAAAATAAATATAAAAAATTTAATTATAAGAAATTGATTTATCAAAAACAGGCTATAAAAATAAAGGTTTCTAACATAACTCTATCTAAGTGTTTATTAATTTAGCTAACATTGTATCAATAACAAGAATTTGAAGAATGAAAATAAAGAAGTAAGATGTTTCTTAAAAAAACATAAATGTATATTCAAGAAGAAATTAAAATGGCTATTGCTGAAATATAAGTAAATTAGAGATTTTTGGAACTAGACTTGAAAAAAAAAAGAGACTTGATTAGAGTAAAGAAGGCCTTATTCTTTCTACTATATATACTATCTAATTAGAAGATATGTGGTGACGTTCTATAGGACCTCCGACATATGTCTAACTTATAGGACATGTGTCTAATTTATAAGACAAGTAGCCAAAATATTTAATATGTAAGTAACTTCTTGGCCAAGTTTATAACTTATCAATCACCTATAGACACATATATAGATAAAGACATGTTTATGAAGCTTTTAAGATGCTTGCCTATAAGTTGTTATCAAATTTATCTAATTTTATTTACTTCTACTTACTCATATTATCTAGATAATTATTAGAGTAAATATGTATGTTTATGATATATTTAGGTAACAAAATATACTTAAAAGGATAGTAATTTGCAACCAAAACATGTAATTTGAATTATAAGCAAAGAAGTAATACTATCAATGATAATTAATTAAACATGGTAGATAATTATAAAATAAAAAAGAGAATAATGAAGAAAGAGTTAGATTATAAATCATTAAAATTTTAAAAAAATTGATATGGGAATGAATCAAATATAATATTTTTTATAAATACTTATAATAATTTATATTTTTTTATAAATAAATAATAAAATATAAATTATATAATATTTTATCTTTAGAATAAATATTAGTTGATTGGAAAGAATTCAAGAAGACAGGGTAAATAGAGATGGTAAATATGTGTTCTTGAATTTCTAATTTGAAGTAATTTTATTGAGAGACTTGGCCTAATTCAATCAAATATTGATGATCCTATGCATTAGAAATGATGTTACCATGCTATCTGTAAGATTATTACAATGAATTTGTTAAGATTGATAATAAAACCAAACAGACGTATATGGATAAAATGTTGGTAAAAAATAAATAAAATTAATTGTTACAATGAAGACTATCAATGAAAAGATTGTGAATAAAAAGGAGTCTCAGACACTAATTTATAAAACGACTTTAATTTGCCAAAATGACTAGTCTTTTGTGATTCCAATAAGCCTCTTATATTTAAAAAACATATTTAGAAGGTTTCAAAATATTCCATTGTAAAATCCAATTGAGCTACTTTAGCCACTTTGACTAATTTTTTCATGGTCCTTGGATACTAGAAGATTGTATGCTACACTTTGATAATCATTAATTATATTCTCTTTATTTGAATGTAAATACAATATGATAGGATTGTTTGTAATTCAGAATAACTTTCATTGAAGAACCAAAAAAGATGAGGGAGGGCAAAATTCAAGGTAGGAGCTAATAGAGTGAGATAGTAGTGATGCAACATGATAAACATCCTATTTGAAGAGCAATAAGAAAATTCGGTAATTTTGTTGATAAGCACTCAAATTTGTATATTTCTTTAAATGTTAGCAATATTGTATACAATTTTGGAACAAGCAATTATCAAAACTTGGATGTCCAATTTGTTTTGGTCAAAATCATAAGTACAATTGATATCTCTGTTTTTCTTGGTTTTAAAATTTTATCATGATCCCTTCAATGAGCCATGAATATTAATCTTGCACAAAATTTTAAAATTCCCAATTTGAGCTCTTACAATAGATAAATTAAAAATACATATTATTGCATTACCATATAATGAAGAAATAATAAAGTGTTATATGATACTGTATACAGATAAATAAATGGTTTCATATTTTTATACACACACACACACATATATATATATATATATATGATTAATTACACCCACAAGTACATGCAGTAGCAATTCAGAATTGTATTGCATGTACTGGACTGGGCAAAACATCTTTGTGATTCAGGCCGATCAGATGATGGAAGGAGAGGTTTCTTTGCCAGGCAAACTCACTCACAACGATCTCTTTTTGTCATCTCTTTCTCCCTCTATTCAAGGTTACTGTCTTTTTCCTTTTATATTTTTCTTTGTTCTTTCTCTTCCCCTTTGGTTCAACTTTAATGACATTGAAAAACACTATGTGCTGTACTTGTACTTGTAAGTGTTAGCTCCATGGAACTCAAAACAAATTTTTATAAGAAGAAAAAGAAAAGAAAAGAAAAATGACCTACACACACACTTTCTTTGAAAAAAACGCATACTAAACCTGAATATTTTCAAGGGTCCAAATCAGTAAAAAAGCAGCAAGGTTGGGGTCTTTAACTGGTTCAACTGCCAGTTTCGAAAATGTGATTCAAACACCTAAAAAACGATTAAAATGTGAATCGGGATATTTTTGATACACACCGCCAGAATAATGTAGACGTTTAACATGTCTCCACAAAACTTAATGTGTTTATCTCGTGTTCGGTTACCTTCATGCGTTCATCCACACGTATTGCATCACTCTCGACTACGCCTAATTCAAACAACAGGCCTACTTTACCATAAAAAGCAAAAAGAAAAAGAAAAACGCAATCACAGACTAAAACAAAATCGAAACATAGCAGAGCCACTTCAACAGTCAACCATCAAATAAACAAGGTCAAACACTAATTTTGTTTGAGTCGATCCATGTTATTGCAGAGCAGCATTGGTTGCATCATGTGGTGATCCTCGTATATTCACAAAATGGGGTTCCTTGAAAACAGATCCATGTTTCAAAACCTGCGAGAAATGATTAAATACAACCTGATCCACCGTGGAAGCCATAGTTGTACCCATGTATGCCCAATATTAAAAAGACCAGATCCTGCAAGAAAATTTCAGAAATTTAGCAGCCATCCAAATGATGCGCACAGATGCCGCATTTGCATCACGTGTTTTGTGATTGGGGCACCTCAATGGGGCCAAAGCACAGCCTGGCGAAGGGCGGTGATTGGGTCACGAGCGACGAGGGGTGGATTCAGTGGCGGAGGATTCCTGTCCACCTCAAAATTCGACATGAGAATTTGCATGGAGTGCACTGCAGAATGACAAGGGCAGGCTCAGATACTTCCAAAGGCCTGCACGCTGTGTTCGTTCCACCTGCACTTGATCCCCCTTCCATGCTTCGACACATAACTCTGTGCGTCATGAATTGTCCCACGCTTTTACTGTGAAAGTCAAGTTCAACCAGCATCGAAAGGTCAAGCTCTATGTCGCACCTGTCTGTCAAGTTAACAACGTTTTCGTAAAGTGGGTTGTTTCGAGGAGATCATTCTATCTTTAAACGAATGACTATAGTCCGTGGGAGGTCGTTATTGGGGTAGTAGGTGTGCAACTTTAATCTGCGGCCTAGGGACTGTTGGCGATTTATTAGGAGTTCAAGAATGGGTCCCACTTATCAAGGATTGTGCTTCATTGTCGGACTCTGGAGGCTTAAGGGTAGTCGAGAGCAGATTCCATTCGGAAAGGTCAGTAGAGGAGAGTTGGACGTAGTGTTGTACATGGGCCAGCATTCAAGACTCGAGTGTGGAGATGTGCGCGAGGGGAAGCTGGTGAATTTACGAAGCAGACTATGGAGAGTGAAGCAGCAGGGAGAGGGTGACAACTGACTGTAGTAGTGCTGATAGGAAGGAGTTCGAAGGAAGTCAGACATCGGAGAAGATGATGGCGGAAGAGGAGGAGAAGTCTCTTGAGGATACGCCCACATGGGCCGTCGCAGCGGTGTGCGCGGTGTTCGTGGTGGTGTCCCTGATGGTCGAACGAGGCCTCAAATATCTGGGCAGAGTAAGAATCGCCTCTAGACACCAGTCCACATCGCGGTTTTCTTTTTTCTTTTTTACTTCCTCCCTAGTTCTGGACCTTCTTCGTGGTTGATTTTCCATCAGCAAGAGGAGAAAGTCTGTGACTGTTACTTTAGAGTAGAAGTTCGAAGAGTGTGTCACACATGGCCAAACGACTTCATTGCCGGTGTTGCCGAATTCACCAAGAGAAAGATATTCATCTCTCCAGATTTAGACAATATCCTTTATTTCAGAGTCCTCCAAGTTTGAAAATGCCTCAGTGTTGAGTTCGCGGCAGTGAACTGCCTCGGTGTGAAGACCCTCTTCATTCTGAATTTCCCAAACACACGTTCCATTCTGAAGTGGATTCATCACTATCAGACTCCGCACTGCTGGTTCCAAATGTTATGCCTGTCTATTGCTATATCTAACGGTGGTGATCGTTGCCTACTACAGTTCTTGCGGCTGACATATCTCTCATGTTCAGTCTAATCCCATGATTTCATCTCTCTCTCACTCCTTCACTGTGCCGATACTGACCGATTACTAGACTTTATCGCAATCGCTGTAGAGATGTGCAACCCCTCAACCTAACTCGAGGAAGGTGATCCAGTAATGCTGAATTAGTCGCACCATCCTTGTCTATGTCTGTGCAGCACCTGAAGAATACGAAGAAGAAGGAGTTGTCGCACACCCTGGGGCAAATTAAGGATGGCAAGTCATTCCTACTACCTCGCTGTCAAGTGTCCAATGCTTTTTTAACTCTCAGACTTAAACTCGTTGCTGAAAAACAGCCTGTTTCTAACTCGAAGATTTGTAAATTATCGAAAGCAGCGGTGACGTAACTCGTGCACATTGGTTAGTTTCGATTTCTCAAAACGCAGCGATAGTGCTGATTAGCGCCTGCTTATACGACCTTCAAAAGTATCCATTGTGTGTTTTACAGAGCTGATGCTGCTGGGTTTTATATCCCTCTCTCTCACCGTCTTTCAGAAGAAGATAGCCTCGATGTGCATGCCCGAGCGGTTCAACCATTTTATGCTTCCTTGCAGTTTTAAACCAGCTTCTGAGGGTCGTATTTCAGAAGCACTAGGGCACAGGGTGCTCTGGGATGCAGGACCAAGTGTGACCTGTCCACCTGTAACGTCCTTAAACTTCCATCATTCTGCATTTAATCACATGGGTCACGCAATATCACCATTCTGCACGCACTGTCATAGTTGTTCAATGTGATGGTATCTTCGGGTCCATTGATTGGAGTACGTTCTGCTGCTCCGCTGAGGTTAGAGAGCTGTCTGATTTGGCTGCAGGGTAAAGTGCAAGTGATATCGATAGAAGGTCTCCACCAACTCCATATTTTCATTTTCGTGATGGCGATTGTGCACGTGGTATACAGCGCAGTTACGGTGCTCCTGGGATTATGGCAGGTAAGGCCTTTAGGTTACTGCATGCCATTCCTGATGCTACCTTTTTTTTAGAAATGCTCATTGCCAATGAATTCCTCACTACGAGAAATTGGTGACAAGCGGTGGAAGTAAGTGTTTGCTGCTTTGACGTTTGAAAATGAAATTGAGTACCGAATTCAGTGCAGGCATTGATCTGCATGGAATATCTTGTGTGATGTGGGGTTTGGAATTTAATGTGAACGGCTGAACAGGTGCATTCGTGGAAGAATTGGGAGGCGAATAGCGTAAATGAATATGAAAACAGTATGAAGAAAGGTTCGTAGCCTCCAGCCATCCCTCTCATTAGCCATTTTCATTGTTCTCGTCTTTCTGTGTATTAGTGATACAGGCTGTGATCGATTGCGCCTGATGAAAACATTTGTTTCGGTTCATTGATGCTGCAGCGTTAGACTCAAAAAATTATGATGGTGCAAATACCAAAGACCGGATGCTCTTGACGTCAGATACCAGCCTACATTTCTCCCACTACTTTGTTAGTCCCAGTGATAAACCCAATGCTCTTCTCTGTGCATGGAATTTTTCTGTCGCCTCCGCAGCCGCATTGGACTTGCCCCTCGGGTTCAGCGTGGATTTTGTTTTTGTTTTTTAATCTTACCTTCAGAGCAATATTCATGGATACATTGGAGTCTAAGCAGGATTTCATGAAGAAATTAATGACCTAATAGTATTGCCTTCGTGAATGCTTGTAGGTGTACTAACATATTAAGTACTTCATTCGCTTTATGTACACAGTACAGCTTCTTCAAGCAGTTTGGAAAGCCTATTTCGGAACAGGATTACTTGTGTCTACGTTACGGTTTCATTACAGTAAGTCACGGACTTCCTCTGAGTCCTGTAATTATTGTATTCGTTGGCCAAGACTGAATTTTGCTGGAGATAACTACTGATGTCATCTATAGATCACTGTCGGATTTATGTTTGTGCAGTCGACTGCACGTTTTGACTCGTTGATGAGTGTCCGGTTCAAAAATATACATACCATTCTCAGAAAATCTGAATAGCAAGCATCTTTTTTCTCTCTTGATAATTTTTTGCTGTGACTGTTGTAGCATCACAACCTTAACCCGAACTTTGACTTTCATAGCTACATCAAGCGGAGTATGGAAAGAGACTTTGAGCATGTGGTTGGAATCAGGTATGTATGGGGTAACCACTTTACAGCCCTTTGGTTTGGACTAGCAGAGTTTACTTATGGTTTATTTTTCCACGATTGTTAATGAGGTACGTGGCTAGTATATGAATTGGGGCTACTGATTTGAATATTCCTGGTTATCTGTCCCTTGGACTTATTGGGGTTGGCACGTGTGGGCTTTGGCAGTTACTACTTGTGGGTGTTCGTGTGCATCTACCTGCTTGTTGATATAGATGGTTAATCCTTCACTTTATCTCTAATTCCAATTATTGCTGCTTCTGCATTCTCCTCATTTCTCCCTGTGTTGTGAATCTTCACGGATTTCAGTTAAATTGAGTCAGTTTATCTTAAGTTTGACATTTTCTGATTGCAGGATGGTACAGCTACTTCTGGTTGGCGTTTGTTCCTCTAGTTGTGAGTTTGAATGCACCCAGTCGCTTTAAGCGTTGTATCTGATTCTCCAAAACTGAAGTAATCAGCGCATCATGCATGTTGGTATTTGTGAAGTATTGCTGGTATCTTATTGGTTACGTTCTTGGATGAGACAGATGGTATTATTTGTTGGAACGAAGCTCCAGCTTATAGTTACCTCCTTGGTCTTGAGAGCCCGAACTGAGGCAAGCGACAAGGATGACCTGTGCGGGAGCGCAGAAGATGAGGACAGAGGAGTCAAGACGTGCCCAGGGATAAGCCCTCGCGATGATCTTTTCTGGTTTAAATCTCCACGCCTGCTACTTTTCCTTGTTCACTTCATCCTTTTCCAGGTATTTCCTCGACCTGAATTTTTGGTTTTTTTAGAGATTTTTCGCCACAAATTGCGAAGTACGAGCCTGAGGCTGATTACATCCACTTCGGTATGAATGCATCTGATCACCACCTGTTTGGTTGGCATATTTTTCAGAACGCATTCGAACTGGCCTTCTTCTTCTGGACAATGGTTAGTACTTGCACGTTTCTAGAAGGCAATGTATGATGAACAAGATTTCTCTTTTGAAAACCACTTAAAATTATCTGTTAGCCCTGAGTAATCTTAGAGCACGAACCCATAGAACATGCATTGAAGTTTTTCTGGAATTTAAGTTATTCTTTCAACCTGCAAGTGAGGATATTGAGAATTAGCCCGGGGTACTGCGTAATTGTAGAAATTCAGAAGTGCTGAGACTGACTTTTGCATAAATCTTGCAGGTCACTTATGGGTACTCATCTTGCTTAGTGGGTAAAACATGGATGGTTGTTGTGCGCATTCTTGTTGGGTAAGTTTTATACGTCTTGTATCCTTCAGAATATGTAAACCTGAACTTACAGTATCTCAACAGCATTGTTTCAGTAGCAATCATTTGTATCGAATAACGGGAAACTTACATCTTTGTTTAAATATTTTTGATTTGATTTTGGCATTGGTCTGACTGATATCTTGCGGATGAATTCAGGTTTTTTCTACAGGTTCTGTGCAGCATCAGCACCTTGCCCCTCTATGCCCTCGTCACCCAGGTATTACTCATTTTAACTGAATTGTATTATGTGAATTCCCTAGTCGCACCTGAAAAAAATGCGTTTATACAAATGTTTCAGTTGGAAATGCATGCAGTGTCTTTAGGATTCGTGCTATTCTCTGTTGCGTCCCGTATAACTTGCACTCGCGTGGTCAAGAGATTCTAGCTGTATTACAAGGTTTATAATAAATTTCATTGTTGAGATGCTTAGTGACTTTTAACCTTGTGCACGATAGGTACTTTTAGCAGCCTAGTAGTCTACGTCGGTCGGTAAATCATCCAAGGCTTTTTGGATAACACGTTCTTGTGTGCAATTATAGCTTGGCTCCAACATGAAGCTCACAGTGTTTAGATCTGAGTCTACTGGTGCGGCCCTTAGCCAGTGGGCAAAGTCTGCAAGGATGAAGCACAGCCACAGCCAGGACCACAGCCACGAGCGTGTCGCACCTCATGAACATCACCATATCGGCATCCTGGGTCTCACCAAGGATTACAACGATCATGGCAATCTGGTGAACATTACTCCAGGGACGAGATTACATCATGGTCGTGGGCATGCTGATCACCACGAGGGGCACAAACACAGCAAGGAAGCTGCTCGCCACCACCACCCCCACCACCACGCACATCTACACAAGCAAGGTACTCAATCCATTTTTATTTTTCCTCTCCTATCCCTCTTTACTGATGGTTGTTTTGTTCTTTTTCGTTGTTTTAGGTTTGAAGACCTCTTCATTGTTCTCTTATACATGTGACCGAGCAAGGTTGCAGCATCCATTGTACGAGTCTGACATTGGAGTGAGTTGCATTTGGTCTGACTGGCTGTGGTGTTGTTCAGATGGATCGCACACAGTTGAAATATCAGAGCACTCTGTTGTCAGCCAACCCACCAAAATAGAACCCTTCACAGACGGGGCAGAGCATTAAGAAAGTAAACCATAGCGTTCCAAAGAGAGTATTGATCTTCTACGCTGGATTAAATCTGACGTTCAGGGCACGGATTCTACAGAACGACTGAGGAAAGCTTAACTTTGAAACCTGAGTACGTAAATATTTTGCAGGCCTGCTCTGAAGTGGAGCAGAAGTGTTCTAAGAATTTTTCTCTTCACTTGGAAGATGAATCAGTGTGCAGTCTTAGTAATGATCTTTGTAACAGATATACGTGAATGACCAACAAATGGAATGTTCAACAGCTGTTACAGTTAACTAAAAATTGTTCATGGCCCAGAATCTCTGTTATTGCTACACTCTGATACTTGCGTCATGGGATGGAATTAGAATCATATAACCCGTTTTATTGCTTGAAATCAGGACATGCCAGTAGCTTTCTGAACCTGTTGTAACATAGTTTCCTACTGGTGTGCAACCTGTGAAAAAACCACACCCTCCCTACTCTTATGCTACGAACAGAGTAATATGAAGATATCCTAAAAGCACCTGAATGCTGGGTGTCATCCGATGACTGACATTGCTGTGCGTCATAAGTATCTCGTGACAATGCGGTGCGTCATCTAGATCACCCTCGAATTTATCTAATCTTCGCCTTGGATGGTGCCTGCCTCTGCACTAACGGTTGAGGGTAGTGCACTAGTTAACCTGAAGGGCTCATCTTCCAGAGGACATCTTATACCTTCGAATGCAATGAAGAAACCTGGAGTCGGTATTGCTCAGGGAATCGGTGTGCAACCTGTGAAATCGGACCTAGAAAGAGGATGGAACCTCGTGGTCAACAAGGCGAGTAATCGATGAATGGTGTAGCAGACGCATCAAAAGATGAAGAGGAAGTTAATCCAGCTTTGACGGCCTCGGCACGTCTCAGTGCAGTGAGTGTTTGCCACATTACGTTTCATGTGGTTTCATGACTTGGTTTTTCTTTTATCTGGAACACTTACTGTACATAATTGAAAATGAAACTATAACTCTTAGGAAGTTCATGTCAAAATGTTCAAACTTCATATTTTAGAAGAAACCATCCTTCACTCTAAATCATGTTGACGTCTGGCATTGTTATGGATGATCACTATTGTTGATCTTGCTCATCATGTAAAGGTTCATTTATGTTATGATTTTTTTTTTGCATGCTTATCCATTTAGGGGCTGTTTTTTTCTACTAGCTTACAAATTATTGAGTGGTGATGTGAAGTGAATGCAGCGACTATGCCTACTGTTGACACAGTTTCTTGTTGCAGGCTGGAGCTTTACTTCCAGAATGCTTGAGAGAAAGGTTGAGGCAGTGCTCGCCTGTGTTGCAAGTGAGGTTGCAGCCGACTCAACATCGTCTTTAATCTTTCACTTGAGGACAGTACAAATTTTTTAAAATCTGAATATTAAGTCGAATTCAATCCAGCTCCAAGTGGCTCCCTTCCAGACCCTGCTGGCTTCATTGTTAGAACCTCGTAGCTACCATCTCCTCACTTGGCAATCGGACTTAATATGTTTCAAATTGGTAAAGCTTTCACTTTTACTGTTTCAGGGTTTTGTTATTAGTTTTCGATGATTACTGGAGTTGGAAGAGCTTACATTGACTTAGAAAGAGGATGTTTCAAGAGTTTTGTTTGTTACACATTCCAAGTGAGGCTGTTCCGTATGCAATTTTCTCTGTTGGATGGTTGGATTTCGGAACTGAAGTAGCAACAGTCTGTCCGTCCTCTCACAACATTAAAGTCCCTAACTAACTCTCGAAGCTTTTCACCTGTTTATTCTTTCACTGGGATGAATGCAGAGCCTGCTATGTATGGTACCCTCGTCTCGTGTTCGCAGAAAGAGTCTGTACACAGAAAATAAATCAGAGAGGGGAATGAAGAAAGCAGGTTCTGCTGTATAAGAGTTATGTTGGCTGGATAATTCCTCTGCGATACGAATCGAAGCGTCCTTTGTAACACCGAGCGTCACCGAGTTGGCAGAACCTTTTTTACAAGGACAGGAATCGCAAGATCCACATTCAGCTGTTACAATAATATGACTTGGTCACCGTTAGCAGAGCCATAGTGACTTCTAAGTGAGTGAAGACATTAGGGGCATGTAGCACCAGCCAAAGTAATCAAGAGTCAAGTTCAGTTTTACAGAGTGAGACTGGCGGAAAATGATGTGATGACCAAAACAGTTTGAAGTGAGAAAGTGCAGTTTAACAGTTTCCGGAAGTAGTCGATGGGCTTTTGATCAGACTCCTACTGTGGAGATCCTATTTCAGTCATTGTTGGCGGTGGATCTCAACCTCGAATCAGATTGAGCAATTTTATCGCAGGGTTTTGGTTAGCTAGCGATATCAAGTTGCGGTCAATTCAAATAACCAATTGTCTGTGAGAATCAAAGGATCAAGTTCAATCCATGAGTGGAAGTCTGCAATTTTGATTTTACCAACATTTGGTGATCACGTAATATTGGAGGCGATTTGTTGATGTTTTGTATCATTTACGTCGCTGGGTATGCGAAAATTCATGCGTTGTGTCTAAACTCCAAAAGCGATTTCTCTTGTTTCAAGAGTCCAATGAGAGGATCACAATTTAGCCCTTTCAGCTTTTTTTCTGTACAATGGGCTTGTGTTGTGGAATATTGTGGCTTCATGGGCGAAGCTGCCACCGCACATTTACGCCAAATGTAAAGTTTCTACTGGAGCTTAACACTGGCCTGAATTTCTTTTTCTGAGATCATCACGCCAGAAGGGGACTTCGAACGATCGTTGATAAAGAGCCAGTTCGCTTTTTAAGTGATGTGAATGGCTGCCACCCCGTATTCACTCGTCTTTGCCCTTGTGTTGGTGGGTGCATCCAATCTACCACAAAGCTCCTTCTATCGTTATGTTCCGTTGAATCAACCCTTCCTGTCTTTCTACAGCTGCCAGTGGAGCAGAATCGAGGACACTGGATGAGTTCAACTAAACCTGGTGAAGTGTTTGAGAGAAAATGCGAATCCTGAACGATTCTCAGTTCCTGTGCCTGGAATCTGTACCATCAGCAAGGAATCAAACTGGGGGGGCATGATCTAAAAGTCAGCTGATTCTCGTCCTTGCAGCATATTTCTGAAATTTAACTGCAGAAATCTTCGAATATTTGAAGTGAAGTTATGAACGACTTTCTCATACCTGTAGCACCATTTTAAGGGACTGATAACATCCAATGCCGTTGGGCCAACCAATCTGATCTGCAGCAATCTTCAATTACACGAAGCAAAATTTGGTACAACGAAATGTTGGACATGGGTCTTTCAGAATGGGTACCAATATTGTTCTCTGGGCTCTTAAGAACTGTTGACAACGCAATTCAGGGGGTGATAGTGTCCAATATCTAAGAACACATTTGAGTTACAAATATATTTTTAACCGATTATTTACATGTGATTGAGATGTTTTTCATATTCCGTTTTGTTTGCACCACACCTCACGAAAAATAGGGTTATGAAACATGAGCGTCTTTCTGTGGTGGAGAGTCCCTTGCTCCCGACGTTCATCCACAAGCTGGTATTTAATTCCTTTTGTTAAAAGTAATCTTTTTAGAGTGCCACAGCCTTGAATTATGAAAATTTCCTGGGTGTTTCCGAGGTGATTGCTTGTGGGTTGTAGAGGTGCTCCTAAAAGAACCGGATGAAACGTAAAAGAGCAACCGGGGGGGGGGGGGGGGGGTTGTGTGGAGGGTAGTGAGCCGTCAAGAAACTTTACTTCTTGTGTGTCGGGAAATGCACGCCCCTCCTCCCTCCCCCCCTTCCCCATCCTGATTCCAATTTCTTGTGGCGGATTGGCGACCGTCTACATTCTCATCACCTTCTCTGGAGCTTGATCCTACTCTCACTCTTCGCTCCAAGGTTCGGCTTTCTGATGCCCCAACAGCTTCTTTCTTGCGGTCCATTTGCCTGTTCTTTTGTGAGTGGAGAATTTTTTGCAAACAGCTTGGGATGTTGTGGAGGTGAGGGTGTTGGTAACGTGGTAGACCCGAGGATCCCTTGAGAGTATTTGAAGCACTCACTTCTGTAATTTATTTCGACTTGCACGTTTCAGATCTTGTCATCGAGGATTTGTTTTTCTGGCTTTGATTTTTGAGTGTGTAGTACGCTTCTTTTGGTATCTTCATGGTTGAATCTGATAATTCTTGGCGCTATGTGGAACTATGAAATTCCAGTAGAGCTGTAGTTTTCGTCTAATTGGTCTTACGGGCATGTCAGTAGCTCTTTGCGTTATGGATGGCAAGATTTGGAAATTACTGCGTATTAATACGTCGAACGTATTCGAGGGACCTGTGACTGTAGTTCTAGAAGTGAGTTGATATAGCTAATTCAATTTATGAAAACGAAAAATATCGCAAGTCTGTAGCGAATTGTCTGATGTGCTCCCTCTCAGGTGCCCATGCGCAAATGGCGTTAGACAATGTCTGGTCCTCCTTTAATTTGTATTTTAAAATTAGGGCAATGGATTAGCTTGACTTAGCTCATCGATCAAGTATATTTAAATCCGAAGTTTATAAATTATGCTCACCCCATTAGGTGGAAGGATCTTCATGGTAACTTGTCTCAGCTGGACCCCAGTTGGCCTTACAACCTCTTGGAACATTGTTTCAAGTTAGATGCGAGTAAGTCACGTAGATAAGATGCTGTTCTGTAGAAGAATATCATCCATGCGGTAGAAATTGATATCCCCAATGATTCGAAGATAATTAAAGTTATCGCGCCCTGTATGGAAGCGTGCTTGCTTATCCTAGACAGTGTTGACAACAAGTATCGCTTGAAGAAGTCTAACTTTGGGTTCGAGGGAATAAAACATTTGATGCAGATACAGTGATTTGTGGATCATATATTAGCTATTCTTATCGACTGGTGGTTGATTGGGATGTGTGTCATGGAGATTTTGGTAAACACAGGAGATAGTTCTAGGGTACAATTTAGAGAGAGGCATCCAATTTAACAACCTGGTTCTCAAATAAGTGTCAATGGATTCTGCACACAGGCTGGTGTAACAGAGGAAGCATCCAGTAGTGGTGCTACCTGATATAAAGTATTGAAGAGCCAATATACGAGTTCTATGGTAGGAGCCGCTCTGGTTGGAGCTAGCATGGCAGCTGTTAGCCTCACAGGGCCTCCTTGTAGATGTTCAAGCTTAGAAACAGCTGCCGCGGGAGTGGTAGTAGCAAGGAAGCAAGGACATTCTTGCTGTAAAAGCCATAAGAAGACCATTAAACAGGCGCATTTGTACAGCGAAATGACTCACGCATGGCAGGATTCACGGCTAAGTGCACGGGTTTTGTTCCATTTGATTCCGTGCTCTGCTAGCGGTCATCACGCACCCGTGGTCGTCGATGACCTTGGTGGCCAGTATGAGGACACGTTTGATGACGTTGAGAAAGTAAGTTTGACATTACCTCTCTGGCTGCTGGTTTTAAGTTAATTCCTTCTTGGCGCAACGCATAATTATTTGTACTTTAAGAATTATATTTCAAGAACTTGTCAACCACATATACAGAATTGACATATAAATTGGACAGAATGATGCGATCAGTATGCAAGATATAATAATAATAATAATAATAACAATGTTAATATTAATAATAAATGTGGATATAATTATACAGTTACAGTGACCACTAATCACTACATTAGGTTTTGCTATATTGTCAAAAGGTGTAGTTTCTTAACTATTCAAGAACGTCGTAGTGCAGCACTTGCTCGATTACTTTACTTTCAAAGGCGTCAAAACAGTCCTGGCACAGCTTTCGGAGATGAACCCAACTGAGTACGCTTGGTTTTACAAGTAAGCCATAACACATCCCTAATTTTTTGCGCCTTTGATAGATTACAATCGGTATATGTAGGTCAATTCTCTTTTGGATCTTTCATGGTTGCGTGTGTTGGACTTGAATTAAACAGTTCTGATATGATTCTGTGGGCATGCAGTTTTGTAGTTAGCAACAAACCCCAAGACAGCAAGCTCTTCCTTCGATCGCTAGTTAAAGTAATGGTTTCTTGCTCTTCCTTCTAACGTGTCCTTCAGGCCTTTCGTCTCCCTGATTGCTCATATAGGCTTGCTAATTTGAATCAAGGTTTTTCAAGGTGACTTGCAGACAGCTATGGGCTAAGCAAGTGGTGGATTATTATTTTCAACAGGAAAGACAAGAACTGGGCGAAAGGGTAATGGTGACTCGTTTACACCTCTTTAACAAATGGGTCAAGGTTTGTCCGTTCCTCCTCGATTCTGTCGGTACTGTGCTTAGTATTGAATGCCTTCTCATTATGCCAATTGTAAACGGCTAGTAACGGTGGCATTGATGTCCCAGAAATACAATCATGTACAAATGCACGAGGCGATATCAAACCAAAACTTGGAGTTGCTGCGAGAAAGACTAATGCAAACAGTGAAGCTACCTTCCGACGGTGAAAATATTGATAGGCCTCCATTGCGAGGATCGGACTAACTCTTTTCCTCCAAATCGTCTTCTCCTGAATATCACTTTTGCTAGAGGGGGGGTTGCTGATTCACGTCTTGAATGCATGATCTGATATTGGATTAATATCGAGGTTGGAATCTGCAATGATATCTTGCATTCAAAACGTTATGCATCGACAATCGTCTAGTGCTCATTGCGTCTCAGGGGTTTTCTCCCATCTCCCAGATTTGTTCCGTCATGCTGCTGGCATTGCTTTTCTGGCTTTGTAGTTTGAGCAGCTAAGGCTGGGGATATCAGTCATGATTATTCAAATTGGTTGGAGGATGTTTCAGATCACTTGATTCTGCTGGTCCTGGGGACGTTGTTATGCTAAGCCTGTACTCTTAAACTCCACATTGGAATTGAAAGATTACTTTGTTATTTCTTTTTCTTAGGCATGCTGCAGTTGCATTAAGATTGTGAATGTCATGCAGCCTGTAATATGCTGAGTTCCTGTGTTCCTGGCTTTGCCTGTTTGGAATGGCACTATGAGTCCACTTTTACTCAAGACTTGGAAACTGTTAAAGTTTGTTTAATATGTGCTCAAATCGGACTAACCCTGGTTTTGGACAATGTATGTAACACGTTATTTATTTGTTTATGTATTTACGAAAGTGCTTACATCACATTTTTCCCACGTTTCCACTCATCTAACGACCAAAGAAACTGAGAATTTGTGAGCCACCTAGCACTAAAAACTCTAATATTTTAATGCTATTCAGACTAATTATGTTAACATATGATTTTTACGATCAACATTTGATTTCTGCATCAAAATTTACTGGTAATATGATAAAGTTATTTTTCGCAAAGAGTATACTTCTTATATGGAAAACGAAGTAAATGTTGTATTAAGCAGTTTTTATTCTGAATTTTTGAGTTACTACAATTTTCATGTCAAGTCGTCATTTCAAAATGGGCAACCAATGCCTTGATTGCAATCTAGTAACTTTTTCCAACTTGATTATCAAAATGTATGAAAACTCACCTGAAATAAAAAAATAAATTATGAAAATTATCAGAATCACATTTCATGTAAACTAAAATTATCATCTTGGATGATAATTTCGAATAATAATACAAAAGAAACAAATAATAAAAATTCAACGTCGACTCATCCAAACACAACATTCTGAGCACTTCCAAAACTTGATTGAAATCACAATCATACGATAAATAGTTTTTATGTGTGTATATATATAATGGAATTTTATTCTACAAGCACCAACCAGCACCAGTGTGAGCGTGATCATTAACCAGTACCAGGGTGCCGAGACTTTTTACTTTCTCTAGGATACTTTAACTTTCGCGCGCGGCACTTTAAGTTTTTTCTCACAATCGTGTTGGCATCGCCACTATAAATAGATCATGCCAGGAGAGCCGAGGGGATTGTTACCGAAGGTTATGGCAGCAGCAATCAGTCGGCCGCGGGAGCAACAACCGATGTGGGTGATGATCCCACTCCTCCACCTCCTCCTTCACTTCTCTTCCTCTCCCTGGCGTTTCGAATTTACCCCCATGTTTCGCATGCTGTTGCCGGTCCTGATCATGGCGGATGTGCTGCTCATGCGATTCAGCGAGGAGGACCCTGGCTGCAAGCCACTGAGGAATCTTCGCAGCGTGGTTGATCCGGATCTTTTGCTGCTGGACCACTTCATGGAGCTGAGGAGGCGGTTGCGGGAGGTGGATAATCAGGTTGCGGAATTGCGGCACGAGGTGATGAAGTTGCAACGAGCCGCAGACAAGCGATGGGTCGGGGATATGGAGCATCTGTTGGCGGAGAGGCAGCGGTACGAGGAACAGCTGTTTGTCAAGGAGCGGGAGCAGGTGGAGCTGGAGACGCGAGGGGAGATGTTTGTTCAAGCGATGAGGGCGCTTGGAATGTTGCAAGACGGGGAGGAAGAGCTGAAAACGATCGGTTCCGTGACGGGGAGGGGGAGGGCGACTTTCCAACAGCCTGTGAAATCATCTATGGTACACCCAAATGCTGGGTCAAAGAAGACGGCTCCTGTGAAGCATGTTCGCTTTAGTCTTCACAATCAATAGCGTTCCAGCCGAGCCGCTCTCTCTGCAGCGGAAGCGTGGATACTTGTACTCGTAGGCAGATTACTTTTAGGTGACTTCACTCAGTTTTTGTTCTCTACAAGCGCTTACGACCAGGACGGTATGCTTCACTGTGGGCCCGCTAGAGTTTACGAGCTTTACCGATGATTTGTAGATTATCCTCGCCCTATTTTGTTCATAATTCATTGGATTCAGTATCAAGTGTAACATTTGCTTATTTCGAAAGAGTATTAAGCTACTTCTATGAGTGAATGTTTTTGGGGATCGACACTAGAATCATGGTTATTGTGTTTGCCGGGTTGGTTCCGAGAGCGTTGTCTGCGGTTGAATGAAGCAATCGAGAGCAATTGATTCCACGTCTCGGTGGCAAATAATGGATTGATTTCCATGGCAAACTTGCGGAGGTTGCCGACTACCATCAACAGTTGTACATTCAAGCTTTGGAAAAATTCGTTAACTTAGAATTGATCGGTTCGTCTCTGGTTCTTAGCGATTGATCGAGACGAATCGTCAAACTTGTTTAATTGCAAGTTGGGTGGAGTTCGATCCATGTCTGCAGGTGGATTTGTTTGCGCATTGGTGTTCCCCCGCTACAATACAGCGGAGGAAAATACCAACTCCCGAGGACGACGTATTCCGTCACAGAATTGGGAGGAACAGGCGTCTGGACGATAGCCATGCGTTGTTTACGAGAGGGAACTGTCACCGAGAGTCTTCATGAGTTGCATAAAATGATAACTAATTAAGCATTCTTAACCGCCGCATCCCTACCCCGCCTCGCTCTTTTCTTTTCACATACGAAGGCATGACAGCTGAATTTCTCATGCTGTATCTCCGAACCAAAACATCTTTCCTGCACGCAACAACGGAAATATCATAGGCAGGTCGCGATGGTAACATGCATACAAAAATCAAGGCCACTTTGAGAGTTTATACGAGTTCAGTCGGAACTGGGGAATGCTAAATTATACGGTTGTCGTGGAGGGCTTAGTGCAGCAGTGAAAGCGATTTTGAGGATAGGAGACTTGTCAGAGGTGTAGCCTCACTGATGTATTGAATTTCAGTAAGTGGAGCGGCGGAGTGAGAAAGTGAGGACAATCTGCTGGTGCAGTGAATTGGTTCTGATTTTGGAATGGCAATCTCCCGTGAGGTGCTCGCCTGGAGCTGGATTGCTGTGGTATAGAGTAGCTGCGAGCTCCAGCATGTGCTCCAGAGTGTTCAAGAGCGTGATGCAGCAGAATCTGTTCAAGAATCTCTTCTGGTCAAGCATATGCTAAGCATTTGACTGATACTTCAACGTTTGAGCTTTGGATGCAAAGAAGCAGACGACGAAGTTGTGTCGTGAAGAGCGGTTGTTGCCAACTTTTTGACCAGCATACAATTTCCATGACGTGTTCTGCCAGCCCTCTTCTTGTCTGTAGTGGTCACAGTTGCCGTAATCGATTCCTCTCAACATTGACAATCATCAAAGCTGCTGACGAAGTGGACACAATTAAGGAGTTTCTTTCCCAATTTTCCAAGGTTTTAGAATTTGGACTCGGCTCAAACACAGTGCACTCTGAATCGAAGTAGAATATTTCACATTTTGCTCATCGCTAAGGCTTCGATAAGCTTAAAGCAGCTCAATGCAGCGTTTCCAACGCAGAAGAGATCACAATGGGGTCACAAAAATTATGAAGAGGAACAGTTTTGATTTCGAGTGTGCACTATGAAGACAGGCAATAGAGACCAATGCTTGGATAGCAGCGAAGTAGGCAATCGCATAAATTGCTGGCTGCTTCTTCGTCGTGGGCTCGCTTTTCTGCACTGTAACATTTGTCTTGCAAATTTGGGGAACACAAATTCTCGTTCCTGTGGTTCATAAATGGGTTGGGAGCAAGAGCATCTGTGTTTGAAACGTTGTTTACGACCAATTACACTCGCAGAGCCTTCTTTCAATCGCTTCGATCCACCATTCGGATCGGGAAGAATATCGGAGGGCAGTGTGGCCTACATTAGCCAGTTAAGGTTTCATTGCTGAACCGCCGAACTGGGCACATACATGAGCAGATGGACAATGTCCATTGTCAATCTGGACCCTCTAATCCTCGGAGTCCTTACCTATCTCCTCGCTCGGTACGCTCCATCGAGTACACGAATTTTTGCTGCCACTGTTTGTTTCGACGAATTTAATGCTCGTCGTGCACAAGAATTGGAGATTTGACGTCTAAGAAATAGCCAATGAAACGAATTATAATGTTGTGAAGTAGCTCACAGATAGTTAAATCAACACTTCAGAAATTATGGCATGATTTGTAGCTGTGAGTCATTAAAATTGATTCTATGAAACCTAGGATTCCACTCTTTCTTTTGCAATGCAGGTGCAAGGTGGAGGGGGTAAAGCTCCAGCACCCAATTTCGCAACCTCAAGCTTGTCTGCCGTGTCTAGCCGAACAAGTCCATTAGGGGGTGGATCTGGTAACAATGCTGTAGCTTTTTGCAAGCCTTCGAATGTTGGGGATAGCTCCGGCGGAACAAGAATGGGTGCAGAGGTGGGCAACAATGCGGGACCCTCCTCAGGGAGTCAGCACCTTTCCAATTTTCGAGCTGGACCCCGGCTGCGGGCGGAGGGGCTAATGGTCCCTCCTGCATCTGATGCAGCCACTTTGCGTCGTCAAGTAGCTGCGTTGCAGATCGATTTAGAGGCTCACATTGAAGGCGAGCAGCGGTTGCAAAATATCAATCAACAACTTCGTGAAAGGCACCTTTCTGTGACTTTCTCTTTCTCCCTCTGGTTACGAATCTTGCAAATTGTACTTCAAAGCTCCTCATTATTGTAGAAAGGGTGATTAGCCCCTGGGTCTTGTCCACAAATCAGATTGGTATTGGTTACCAAGATATTCGTAAGCGAATCGAAGAGTTAACCCTTGAGGAATGCTGCACAAATGGCAGGTTAGAGGTGTACATGAAGCAGAATCATGAAAACGTAGAAAGAGCTGAGAGTGAGCTCAACACTCTCCATGAGGACATGGAGCAGACTCTTGAGCTGCAGCGGCGATTGGCTCAAAGGTAGAACTGGCTCGTCATATTTGCTTAAAGAATTGGGTTCATGATATCTGGTCGTCAATCTGTCACGACAAAGTTAACTCGTGACCATTTCCAAGATACAGTGCTAATCAGTGATGTCCTCTTATTAGGGCAACGGCCCTGGAGAAAGAAAAGAAGGACCTAGAGGTTGCTCTTCAACGAAGGGTATTAGATTTTGAGAACGAGAGGATCTCAATGCAGACTCGTATTCAAAGCATGGGTGAAGATCTGAGGGCCAAGACAGAGGCCCAGGAAAAAGTCAATCAGTTACAGGTGCACCGGCGCTTGCTTTCAGTAGCTCTATTCACCAGTTTTGTGAGCTTTTTGTTCGGAATCATGTGAGGGCAAGATTGATTTTAATGAAGGCATTGAGTATAATTCTTTCCTCTTGTAAACCGTGCAGGCAGAGTTGTTATCTACTCTGGATGTGAAGGTCAAGCTCGAAGAACGACTCGAGAATTTCGCAAAAGAAACAGCCTTCCTTAAAAAGAAAGCGGATGACTACAGCAATGAGCTCCGAAATTTGATTATTAAGGTAAAATGATATTATACGTAGTTCGGTTTTCCTGTATCTACAATTGTCATGTATCTAGTCTTAATACCACTGATGATACGATGCCTTCCTTTTCTTAAATCATTTCAAGCTCAGTAAGAAATAATGTGAAAAATATGTTCAATCTAAAGGCTTTAACTGTCTCAAAAGTCTTTACAAAGTCGTAGGGTGATGGTGCTTTTCGGAGAGCGGGTCAATCTTACCCTATCAGAAATACAGGAGCAATTCGATCAAAAATTGGATAGAATGGGAAGAAAATCAGTGGTGCGTCGGGCATTCATACATTTTCAAATGGGAGTTAGAGATCAGTGTGTCGATACAGCCAATGCAGAAAAAGCCATCCGCCTGTATAGACTCCATTGTTGTAAGCGCTTGTTTTTGAAACTGCGGTTGGGCGCTTACCGCGCGTCCGCAATTCGTAAAGCTGCTGACAAACATAAACAGGTTTGTGATTCCATGACTACCTGTAAATGACATTTTTGTTGCAGATAAGGGAAGATTTTCCTCGTCCAGAACATCAAGGAATGCTGGTAATATTCGTTAGAGAAGGATCAACAATAAATTCCAGATACTGATTTGCTTGTCTAAAAAGTGTGGTTTAAACTTTAATTATGATATATTTGACTTAGTTCACAAGATGAATGCAGGCTGCTTTCATTAGAGTTTGGAAATACTGGAAGTTGAATCTGATTGTGAAGCACAAAGGTCTTGAATCATTGAAGAAGCAAGCAGTGGCACGAGCAACCCATGCATTGCAGGCATGGGTGGCTTACGTCATCCACATTCGCCTCAATCCAGAACGGAATGAAGCAGCAGTATCGCATTGGAATCGAAAGTGTCTTCGAAGTTTTTGGGATAGGTGGTCAAATACTCTTCGTTACTGGAAATTGGGGGCTAGAGAAGAGAACCTCCTCACGGGGAAAGCTAACAGGCATTTCACAAAAACGGTGATGCGCCACACCTTTGAGGCATGGCAAGTCTGGCTCAGAGTATATGCACGACCTGAGAGGGTGAAATTCGCAGCTGTGCAAGCTCATATCAACAGAATGACGATGAAGCAGTATTTGTCTGCATGGCGTTGCGTAATTTATGTGAAATGGGTTCGCAGCATGAAGCTTGAGGAAGCAACCAAACTAAGCCAAGTTTGGTGCATGAAGAGCACTTTTTACAGGTAATCTCATTTACACCTTTAATTTACTTTTACGTATGGGAATAAGTGTGCTAAGGATCTACAAAAAACGCATTAATTACTTCAAGATTATCAAGTTGGTGGTAACATACTCTGTGATGTTTTAAGTTCAAGTATGAGAGTACTTCATTTGACTTAGTTATATGTAGCGTCAACAAATGTTCCGCTTTGGGATTATAATAGGTTTTCAAGGAGATCCGTGTCTTGGATTCCATAGAATTTGGGGGAAATGGATGAACTGAAATAAAATCTGCTATCCTGTGTCACTTACGAACAACTTGTCTTAATGTGACTTTCTTCACTTTGTAGGTGGTTGGAAGGAATCCGTGCAGTGAAGCTCCACAGGACACTCCTTACCCAAGCCATTGCATTCCGACTGTTCAAACAAGGACAATCAGTTTTCCGACGCTTGCGCCATTTTCGTCAACGAAGTCTGCACATGCGAATCTACAACAAAATGGCTTTTCGACATTATCTTCACAGTCTTTCTATCAAGGTCAGAAAAACTCTACTTTCTCCGTCCACAATACTAATGTCTCATTCCTACCGTACAAACCGAAACAGCAGTATTTACGGTATTCCCCAATCGCTTCAATCAAAATAATTTGGCGATTCTTACTTGGTGCTTGCCATTTACTCAGATATTCAGATACCTTAGGTTGACAAAAGTTAATTATGAAATTATGCGAGGAGTTACGTTTTAGTTTGTGCAGCCTTCTATGTTTGCTTGTTGAAACAGTTTATGTGTCGACTTGTGCTATTGTACCCCACAGCTCAAGTTCTCATATTCATATTAACATTGCCTTAATCTGTCTTATTCAAATCTTTAAGAGTATGCAAATCTGGAGAGAAAATGTCAACTACATAAAAGCACAACAAAGAGCTACAGCAGAAGTAAACCAGGCGCTGACAAGGGCAGCAATGGTCTTTTGGCGAGATTATCATGTGTACGAATCAATAAAGTAAGATTCGGTTTATGAGTGATTAACCTTCTCTCAGTAGCTTCTTATACTGTCTAGCATATTTACAACACATTTCAATGATTGACTCAAGGATGCTCTGATTGCCCACACAAGAAATAGAACTGTACTAATTCGCAGAGTTCATATTTCGTGCTCGTGCAGAAAGAAGAAGGATTACAGGGCTGTAATACATATGAAACGAAAACAAAACAAGGTAAATTTTTAGACAAGCTTATGTTTTCACTGTCCAAATTGGAGGTTTTTTTAGTAACTGAAGCACTCCATGTTGAGTTGAGCTCTTCTGCCCTCACTGACTACTGAATACATATAATTTTGTGCTCAGCTGGTAAAAAAGATATTTGTTATGTGGTGGGAGCAAGTGGCTTGGAAGCGAAAGGCCGTTCAGTTGGATAACTTATTGGCAGTACGCCGACGCCGGACACTGCTCATCCAGAGCTTGCATGTCTGGCTGCATGCTACTATTGATGGTCTTTTGCTTGCAAATGCTAAATTTCATGAAGACCTTTTGGAAGCTCAGGTGCCTAACTTCTTCACTATGTTTCCAGTCGTGATAATATAAAGAGGCCACTTCAACTTGCATGTCTGTAATTAGACAGTGGCGGAAATTTTAAGCGAATATGTGAAGCAAAACCATTGGAGTTGTCAAACCATGAAAGTCCGCACGATTTTGCCATTTCATCAGAAAAGTTCGTTCTAACAATATATGTTTCGCATAATCAATATTTTTGCAAGTCCACTTCATCTTTAAGTTGTATTTATGCACAAAAAAAGTTGGGCTGGGCAATGTACAGGCACAATTTGAGGAACAGAAGCATCAAGTTACTGCAGTGGACGTGGAGAATCTTCAACTTATTGACCGTCTACATACAATGTCATCAGAAGTAGCATTTTTTAAGACTAGCATCAGTGAAAAGGAGAAACAAGAGGAGGATCTTCATCGTGCTCTAGAAGACAGTACCATGCTGGAAAGTTCCATGCGCAGTGAGATTGAGCAGCAGCACGTGCGATGTGAGGGGCTCGAAAGTGAAATTCAAATTCTCAAGGTAACACTATCAAAGTCCTCAACAAAATCTCGGCATTCATGTCGCGCCTTCCTACTGCCTTGTTGAGCAGGTTGCTTAGGAAGTCTTATCTATGAGCTGAAGTCGATGACCAGCTTTCCTTTCGTTATTGTACCGCGCTAAAATCCATGTCAAGGCTGCTGATAAACTAGCATAAACTTTTGTCTCCGTTACTTCGTGCAAATTAACATACCTGATACAACTACGATAACGCAGAAAAAGCTTCAGATGAAGAACGTGGAGGATACTGCTGGAGAAATCCACCATACCTTGGAAATTCAAAACTTAGAACAAGCTCTGAAAGAGCTTCGCATCCAACTAAGTGACAGAACTTCTCAAATTGAGTCCTACGAGAAGGTGTGTGACAGAAACATCCATCGTGCAGAATGTTTGTTGTGCTCATCAATTGTGCTAGTCTTGAAATCCTGCTTATCTCAGCAGGAACTTGTTTCATTTTATCTCGGTCAACAAAGTGGACTACCTCCGAATATTTTTCCCGGCAAGTAATGCATTTCGTCTTGGTATCAGAAATTTCTGATGGTTCGCAACTCTCTATATAACTTGACATGTATGGGGCTAATTACTGTGCTCAGGCGTTAAAAGAAACGGGAGAAAGACTGGAAGGGGCGTCGGATGAGTCCCAAGAGAAACTTACAAGTGCTTTTGAAATTGCTGGATCATTACGCAAATTGTTGGAAGATCGTGAGAGCCAATTTGCCACCTTTGAAGGAAATTGCCGGGTAGGAATCACTTATGAGACATCACATTCTAAGCTTCCTCTTTGATCCTTCTTGTATTGGCGGTTATTAGATCTTAAATACCATCACTGTAATAGATGTTGAATTGTTACGATGGATACCATATTCACGTGCTCATGACTTAACCAACAGAGGCGAGAACTAGAGTTGAGTGAGGTGCAGCGTAAACTGGCTGTGGCAAACTGCACGTTGTGTGAAACAGTCGAATACAGGGACGCTCGCATCCAAGAGCTAGAGACTATGCTTAGCACTAAGCAGCAAGAGGTACGTCTGGTCATCGTATCATTCAATCCCATCCTTTTTTCCACAATAATGCAAACTTCCCTCAGGTTGGTGGTGGATTGCGGTAGTCTCATTCTCATACTTAATCCAGATGATTCTTTTTGTCCTCCAAACCTCATTCACTTGCGACTACATTATCATTCTCCTGTAAAACCTAGTATAAGTAAGAAAATGACATTATCTGAACAAGAACGAATCATGAATCAGGTGCAAGAGGTGCAGCAACAATTACAGCGTTTAGAGCTGGCCATGGATTCCAAAGAGAGCCGGGTACGCAAACTAGAATACGAAATCAAGCTTATGTCCGGTACGCCATTGCCATCTTGTCCATCTGAATTTAATCCTTTAAGAGCTCAATGGGGTTAATTGTCAATACTCCTTGTGAGTACATTCAACAATCCATGATGACAGTGGGGACCAGAATCAGAGTACGAATACGATTTGAGCTTCAACCTCTATATTGTAACATGAACAGAACAAACTGCGTTGAAGGCGAACACGTTTGTTTCAAGCTTATATTCCTGGGAAGCAACGTCACAGTTCCAATCTGATGCAAATGCCCCTCTGAAAGGGGGCTGCTCGACGAAGCAGTCCATGCGCCAGACGTACGACGAAGCCAAGAGCGTTCTTCAACACAGTGTTTTATCGAGCTTGGACGAAGGCGTACCAAAGTTACGAAGGGTTCGCACATCCTATGCATGTGTGACGGAGCCTTCCGCCACAAATTTTGAAGACATGCCGGGAGAGGTGCCATCCCGTGGGTTAGACGTCGTAGCTCAGGAACCAACCTGTACGCAGATTGAACCACTTCCCCCTCAAGAGAATTCCACCCCTTCACTGGAGATGAAGACGCCCGTTGATGCCAGTGTTGGACTGGGATCTTGTCAACCTGATTTGACCATGTCAGTGCCATCCCGCCCTGACGAACGTGCAGTAATGGATGTGGGAACCGACACCCGTAGGCAGCTGGGTGAAGACACATTTGATCATGAGAGCCGCTCCGTGCTATTGTATCAAGGCCAGGGCACGTCGCAGCGAGACTGGGAGACGTCAATTGCGCTTGTATCGACGACAAGGCCTACGCCAATCCTACCCTCAACAGGGCCTACACCGCCAGGGTACATGGCGGAGCCTGCGTATGTTCTGGCCGATGGACGAGACTCCCAGGATCACCCACTAGAAGGTGGGGGTGGGGCAATGATTCAAAGCTCGGGGGAAGGGCACCACCGCATGATTTTAGACGACGACCCCAATGCGGTCGATAGTTTGCACCTTGAAATCCAGCGCCTGCAATCGCGCATCATGAGCCGATTGCGAGATTCGGCAGGCGATCCTGAAGTAAGCCACCATCTTCCCACTCTAACAATTCGGTGTGATGCTAAAAAACCTAAAAAGGCATCAATTGCTGCAAACTGTCGCGATTTATGCACTCGATTCCAAAGTACTGAGTGTAGCTCTTCAAGGATTTAAGGTGAGTGATGGTGTGATGGTTGTCATGAGCAGGGCTCTTTCAATCGAAGTGGCTCCAGAGCAACAACTCAACAGCCCCTGCCAGAATGTGGTACAAGTTCCGGAAGGACATGGGACGGTCGATGAAACTAAGATACAATTCCATGGATTGTTCGATATAGATCGGTGTCAGCAACTTCAGCAACCTCGTGTTTGATATAGAATGGCTTCCTCCGTCTAGATGTTCACTGTGCCACTCCCCGAGCACTGAAATGTGAAGGATCAATTTCGCAGACAACACGTTGAAGGTTGCACAACGGCATTTGTATGCAGAATCGTGATCAGCAACATCACAACTTCAAAGAAACACGACCAAGTTGATTCAACAACATTGCTCACCAATGATGATGAACGTGAAAACGAAAGTGGGTCGCAGAGGAGGCTACCAGTGCTCGTGGACCTACAGAAACCAACTTTAAACCTTGAATCATGAGTGCACCTTGCGGCCATTGCTGAATTGAGTGGAAACTCTCCAGACGCTCCCCTCTGCAGCAAATCAATCAAGACGATCTTTAGCCCTTGGCCCTCTCAGTGACAAGCAGCGACGCCTAAGTAGATGAATGAAGCAGCTCTTGGGATTTCGGTGCAAGTGGACTGATTGTGAAACCCACTTGGGCCACTGGGCTATGTCATGGAACATTTTCTTATCTTTACTCAATTTCAGATTTATGTACCATATATTCACACTCATTGTCCCTGTATACTGCATTTGATGGTGTGTACAGGCTTTGAATATGCATATTGTTTTGATGAAGTTGAAATTTCCTTGACTGGTCTTGATTTCTCATTTTTCTTGCCATTGTCTCTCTGCTCACAACTATGCATTTGTGTTTTGATCGTTGGAAATAAGCCTTAATTAAAAATAATTATAGATAATACATATATAATTTGATCTATCAATATAATTAACCATGTTTAAATAAAAGCAATGAAAGTCTTTAACAATAGTTAAGATAAAATTTAGATTTTTTTATATTAAAAGTACATTAAAAGATTTTTTTAGACTAGACATTAATTTTAGTAACAATAATATTTAAAGTGAAATTTTTAATAAAATCTTTAACAAAATTATATAGTCTCTATTTAGTGTATTATGTAATATTTATTCTATTGGTATTATAAACATACTTATTCACCTAAATTGAAGGAGTTAGATAGAAGTAAATAGAAGTAAATAGATTTAATAATATCTTGTAAAAAAGCTTCTTAGAACTTCACAAATATGTTTTGACTTTATATGTATTTGTATGTGATTGGTAAATTGAAAACTTGACCAACAAGTTAGCTATGTGTTGCACATGTTTGCTATTTGTAGTAGAAGTTTGCTATGTGGTATATATGTATAACTTATCTTACAAGTTAGACATGTGTCTTGCAAGTAAGACACATATTGGAGGTCTTATAGAATATTGCCACATAGCTCTTAGTTAGATAATATATATGGAATCAAGAGTGAAGCCTTCTTCACTCTTGTCAATGTTTTTTTTGTTCTTAATCTTGTTTGAAGAATCTTTAGTCTTCTTATTTTTCACACTAACAATTATAGTTTTAATATTATACCATCTTTGAGAGATTATCTATTTTTTTCAAGTGACTCAAGAATGTATTAATTCTCTAGTTTTTTATGATTTATGTCTTTTGACAGAATGATAATTTATTATTATTCTTTTGTTGTACTTTAAAGATTATGAAATATCCGTTTTTAAACTAATATTTTATATCTTTTAATATTGAATCTTTTTTTTATAGAAAATAGACTATTATTTTTTGTAAAAAAAAATTATTTAATAGAAATTTTATAGATTATCTTCTTCTAATTAAATTTATAGATTTACTATTTTTTTTTGTTATAGAGATAGCAGGAAAAATTATTGATGCTATACTCAAAGGAAATAAGAATAGATTTGAAACTATTGAAAATCTTTACAAACTTGTTAATAATTTTAGAGTAGAAATATTAAGTATTGCCAATGTCAATCATCAAGATGTTATTCCTACATCTATGGAGGAAGTTAATAATGGAGTTCAAAATCTATATCAAAAAATTGTACAATTAATAGAAACAAATAAATCAAGCTCACAATTGAATCCAAAAAGTCTTGCTTCTAAAAGTATGAAATTTGCAAGAATAAGTATGCTAAAGAAGTTTGATGGAACAAAATCAAAATTTTGAGGATTTCTACAACAAATCAAGTTTTATTTGAAGTTGCATCTTTTTCAATATCCTAATTGATTTACATAAGTTGGTTTCATAAAAACACTTTTATCTAGAAATATTCTATATTAGTTTTCATCCTTATTGGAAAAAAATTTATGATTCTTCTATGATCTTAATTCATTCTTAAAAGTATTTTTAGCCACATTTAGAGAAAGTAATTAAGAAAAGATAGTGTCAAAGATAAGAACTTGATGAAAGCAAATAAACATGTGAAATTCTTTCAAAGAAATGGAAATAAAGAAGTATGTATATTAAAAAGAAAACTAGAATAACTATTGCCAAAAGGAAATTAGAGACACTTGAAACTAGCCTAAAAATAAGAAAGGAGTTAACAAAAGTGAAGAAGGCTTCATTTTTGCCTCCATATATGTTATCTACCTAGGATCTATGTGGCGACATTCTATAAGACCTCCAAAAACATGTTAACTTTTTATGATACGTATCTTGACTTGCAAAGTAAGTTTTCTATATGGGTGCCATATAATTAGCTTATTTTTCAAGCTACCAATACATATGATATGTGGTTAGCTTGTTGACCAATTTTCTAATCTACCAATCAACTACAAATACATATAAAGTCAAAATAGCATCTAAGAAGCTTTTAAAAAGCTCTTTTATAAGATATTATGAAAATAATCTACTTTTATTTACTTCTACTTATTTATATTACCTAGATAATAATTATAGTAGATATATATCTATGACATTATTCTCCCTTCTAGGGACGAGTTCCACGAGGAGTGGTGATTATATATTCAGGATGTTTAAGATGTGACGAATTGTATTTGCCACGTTCTTTGATCTTTGTTTCTTTTGAAAGTAATTGATAGGTCCTCGCAACCATTAGTAATATTCCATTCCAAGGTGGAAAGATCACCCTATGAGTTGATCATTGTTGAAACCTTGATAACTTCTTTCAAATAAAATATTTGTAATACTATCAAAATTTGTGCCTACCTTCAATAAAATCACCAAATATTGAGAATCTTTTCTTACGTTGTGATATCAAACTTGTTGTATCTCGCCATCTATTCAAGGAAGAATATGTCATTCTTGAAGGTCTTCATCTTTATTACATTTTCTTAAAGGCTATGATAATCATAATATCTTATCTAATAAGTCGGCAAATAATGGCTTTTAAGTTGAATCTGCTAGCTGTTAATTCTCTATCTCCTTAATGCTATAATTATATAGAAATTACAAAGAAGGATAGAAGGTAGAATGCAATCTTTTTAGAATTTTTTTTCTTTTAAAGCAAAGATTTTCTATCATTCATCTTAATTTTGTTGGATATCATTGATAAAAAGTTTTGACCTTCTCTACTGCATTTGTAAGATTTTTTGCTAACTCCCATGTACGTTGTCATGTTGTGGTTCAGCTACCATGTGAAAATAATGGGTTTATATATTTAATACATAATATAATAGACAACAAGGTGAAAGCCATGTTAGTAGATTTTTGTTGGTTATAAGATGTGGATAGATTATTAATTCAAAAAGAAGTTATTTAAAAGTGCTTCTATTAGAATTTATATAACTTTATTTTCTTTTAATAGTGACTTTGAAGTTGAACTTATTAGTAGTAGCTTTAAAATATTTAGAGTCACCTTTGTTAGATATTGATGATTCTTAAAGTCTTATTTTATTTCTTTTATATAGTGTATAGGGCATATATTGTGTAAATCTTATAAAGAAAAGAATTGGAGAGGATTTTGGTAGCAAAAAAAAGTAGTTAGAACATCCATATGAATGAATGGAGATAGATGATATAAATCTCCATTCCTATTGGTCAAAAATCATAACCAATGGACTTCAAGAAGGCTGCTTTAGGCCATATTAGGGATTAAGATTACACTTTCAAGCCATTCGAGCTTTTGGAGGCAAGGGTCAGTTAGTTCAGATTTTTGACTATGGTTTTGGTGCAAATTTTGAGTCAATTGGAGTTTTTATGAAGGAGATATAGGCGCTCAAAGTTGAGGTGTTGATTTTGTACCTATAGTCACTGTTTTGAGTATAACATACACAGATGGAAAGCAATGGAGGATCGACGACTAGGATTAGATAAGGTACTTTTTTGGCTATAGTTTTGGCATACTATTTGATGGGTTCTAAGTTGGAATGAAGGAGGCATTGGAGGTTGAAATCAGCACTTTCAAATTTTGGTTCAAAATTTCCAAGAATATGTGAATTCATGTTAGTAAACTTTATGTATAATTTTTTTGGCATTTGGATTTTTAATTTTTGATATGTAAAGAAAATATTTTTTGAGTGCTTGTAGATTAGAGTTTAGAGCACTTGCTAGGATTTCGAAGATACTAAAAGATTGGTAATAGATTTATGGTTCATTATTTTTGTGGTAAAGCTTAAGGATAGAATCTATGTTAAATAGAAATTTTAAAAAATTGAATAGTTGGATCAAGAAATATGAATTTCCAAAATTTAGGATAAAAACATCTTTTGTGGAAAGAAAATGTTTTGAAGGATTTTATTATAATTTGAGCTTTTGTGCAAGATTAAGGAATTTTTGAGAGATAAAATATCATATATAAGCCAAAGCTAAAATCTCTATAGCTAGGTATCCAATATATTCCCAGATTGTAAATCGTGCCATATGACAATGTTCACTAATATCATATCTGTGCTAATGGACAAGACATTCCAAGTTATTTCGGTACTACCTTGAATCTAAAACTTCTTCTGTTTCAAACTTTTCATTATTATCCACTTCTATAAAAAGAGGTGGGACTTACTTTCTTTTTTGTATGTTCAGAGTCTTATATGGTTCAAGAAGAGATATAATAGAATATAGGATGGATCTTTATTGACTCTGGTAGATATAATCAAAAAGAAAATAAGATTAATTTTTCCATCAATAGGAAAAGATGTAAGTTTGTGGTAGTCCAACTTATCACAAAGACGAATAGTCTTGATATTATGATGAAGTAATCATAATTTATCACTTACATTGAATTGTGGTTATTTCTTTTAATAGGCATCTATATTGATCTTTTATCATTCTTGAGCTTTTTTTAATTGTACCTTTATTATTGCATGTAGCTCTAACAAATACTTTGCCAAATCTTTTGTCACAAGATTATCAACTTTTGAAAAGTCAAAAATATTAAGTTGTAGATGATAACCATAATTGACAAAAAAAAAAAGTGTTTGTTGTGTAGAAGAATGTATTGTATTATTATAAGCAAACTTTGCTAATGGCAAGAAAATTGTCCAATTGTCTTATTGATAATTGATAGTACACCTTAAATATTACTCCAAAACTAGATTTACGTACTGTGTCTATCAATTAGTTTGACGATGAAAGGTCAAAGAAAGCTTTAAATCCATCTTTAAAAACTTAATTTTTTTTTTTTCTAAAATCTTGATACAAATTGAGTCTCCTAATCCAATATAATATCTTTTGGCAATCCATCATATCAATTGATATTGTCAAGGAAAAGCTTATTAGT